TTAACATTGGCATATTGTCAAAGTGTCTAATTCTAACATTTAGTAATATTTGTATTAAAAATCGTGATTCCTCGATTTATAAAAAATAAATTGTGGCAAAACATTAAATTCAAATTAATCGATAAAATCAGTAAAATCGTCCAGCCCTAGCATCAATATTGCCATATCAATTTGAGCCAGATTCAGACCCCGAGAATATTGAACAAGAGGATCGCGCAGAACCTTTGCACACACGGATATTGGAAGACATATTAGAGTGGTAACGTTATTGTTTGTTTTTTTTTGGCTAAATCACATTTTAGATACGATGTGAACAACCGCTTAAAAATAAGTGGCGAAAACTTGACGCTATAGCAGCTTTTCTTCTTCATCGTTTTCTCTGATGCACTAACTCTGCAGCAGCACTTCTTCTTCGTCTTGTCTGATGCACTCAACCAAGCGTTCTAACCAAAGCCACTAGAGGGCAAGCCTGCAACCATTAGCCGAAAAAGCGTAACGCCTAAAGCTAACGCTTCCGGTCTGGCAGTACGTGGGAAAAGAGACCAGAGGCCGTTTTTTTTTAATGGATGTCAATGGAGGAGAGACTTCACTACGCTGAACAAACAACTTTTTAGAGGAAATAGCTTATTTAATGAATCGACAGCCTATCTGCTAATCTTCAACATGTTTTACACTAAACAATACTTTTGGATTGAACTATTTATTGAGTTTACCACGAAAAAAATGCTGTTTTATAAGAGAAGTCACTGACTTTTTGCAACAGGTGGCATTCAGCTTACAGCACTTCTCATTCATTCCTATGGGATCTGTAAACGGCGATTGAGTGTCGCACAACTCTGAATTTCAATGACGTCAAGGCTGTAATGTAATTGGTTATTAAGGGACACGTGATCCAAGTTGACCGTTACACTTTCTCCAATAGTAAGTAATACAGACCCTCTCATCTCCCTATAGTAAGACAATCTGTGTTCTAACCACGACCTCGCCCCATCCCCACCCCCCATCCATTCGAATTTCCGTAGGCGGGAATTATTTTAATGATATTATAATGGGCCGCTTTGTGACATGACAAAACCCCGGAAAACAACGCTGTAGTTCAAATGAGCCATTTGTTGTAGTTCTTGAAAAGGGATTTTTTAAAAACGAAATATCTCCCTTTGGAGTGGACTTTGAGATTTGTAACTTTGTAGATCTTTTTTTATGCCCAAATATACACGCTACACACTGATTAAAATTCAAAAAAGTGAATCCTTTTAAAAAGACCCCTTTAAAAGGAAAAGTGATATAAAGTCATGGGATAGCTTTAATGCTTGTTTGTTTGTTCGTTTTTTGTTACTGTGTATGTTTATGCATAAACCCAAACAATATTAAATAAAAAAAACTATCAATATGGATCATAAATTCAATACCTCTGTTACTTAGTGGAGAAGAGAAATATCCTTAACTGAACAGAGCTTATGTATTGCATTTGAGTACACAGGTGAAATCACGTTCACCCCCATCCGGGTCAAGGTCCCAATGTAACTAGGGGTGTAAGAGAGGTGCACTAGCGACTGATGCTAGAGGCTGCAGTCTTTAGCCTCCTTGTTAAGCCCAAAGAATACTTCACTTTTTATGCATACGCGAGGGACATCGTACAGCGCGCGTGACGCGAATTTCGTCATTAGAATAGTACGTGCGTACATGCACCACCTGATTTTTGTAACTGCGCATACATTCAGTAGCGTACCATGGGGTTTTAGTCAGGGCCTTCAGTAACAATCTCCGGTTGTATTCTGTGAGTACGTTTTGATGCGCTTGAGAGCTGAGAAAGATTGATCAACTGATGCGGTGGACACTGGGATTGTCACGATCAAGCATGTGAGGGCATAAAGCTGTGACATGCTTACTGCAAGCCCCGTGCTCCTCAGAAATGTCAGTAGGTCACTTGGACTCTTTTCTTGAAAGTTTGTCATGCTGTACATCACTTTGAGCTCAGCTCTGAGTCTGCCCAGGTCAAACTACACCATTGCTCTCATCCAGGCTCCTGAGCTCTGCTTCGGGCAATGTCTGCTTGAACTTTGCAAACAGCTGTGCATCCAGCAATGCAACAAACAGTAGTCGCTTGTGATCCTCAAATCGATTCCTGATTTGCGTGATGATGATGTCGATTAGCGCTGTGTGTAGCTGTCTGTATTGTGTGTGCGCATCTGTTTGGCCTCTGGCTGAACTCAGCTGTCTCGCGGCCTCCGCTGTCCTCTCACAAATGGCATCAAATTTTCCACGCTCACCTTCAGGAATCTGGCAAAAATCTGCAATTCTGGCCAGACTGAACTGCACGTCTAAGCTCTTATTTTGCAGTATTCTGAAGAGTACATCGGCAAGTCAAAAATGCCAATGAAAGCAAAAAGGGAAAAAAAACAAGTCAAAGCTTTTCAATTGTGACAAGTGTCCTGATGCACAATGTACCATGTCATGGTCAAAATCCTCCGCGTGATCGAGGATGTGCTGGAAAAGCGTGACCAGCTCAGCTCTTTTGTCATAGACTGTGCCCACCAACCTGGAGTTAAAGTTCCATCTTACCCAAGAGACCCGCAGTAGCCGCCTCTTGCAAAACTCATTCAGCAGTTTTGTGAGCTTGGGAGAACGTGTAAAAAATGCAGACAATCCTCCTAGATTCGCAAAAAAAAATCTTGCAATCCTTAATTTTGATGCTCCCTGAGACATCACAAGATTTAATGTGTGTGCATAACGGTGCACAAAAAGAACCTGAGGGATGTCTTCTTTGACGCGCGCCTATACGCCATTAAGTACCGATGCCATTACAGCGGCTCCGTTATAACACTGTGCCACTTACTTTGTTTTGCAATCATAGCTGCCCAACACTTCAAGTACTGAAGCTGCTAGATCATGAGCTCGTTTTTTTTTCTGTGACATCCTCAAACTTTAAAAATCTTTCTTTTACTCCGATGTCAGTAAAGTACCGGAGTACAAATGACAGCTGTGCAGTGTTGCTGAAATAGGTGGTCTCATCCACCATAACTGCGACAAACTTGGTGTTGTTGATCTCTTTTTTGATGGCATCATTTAGTATCTCAGCAACAGAATTTATGAGATCATTTTGAATTTTCCCCGATGTTCCCGTAAAAACGGTGGCCGTGGCAAGGTGGTGTCGCAAGTCAGCATCGTATTCTGATAGCAGAGACAGTAACTCCATGTAATTACCTTGATTCAGGGACTCCTTCCCCTCGTTATGTCCCCTGAAAGACAATTCTTGCTGTCCCAAAAAGACGACAAAATCAATTAGGCGCTTCAGTATGTCCCGTTTTTTTTTTTCACTCTCTCATTGTGCAGGCTTGTCTCTCGTCTCCGCTGGTCATCCAGCTGCAAATCCACCCTGGACTCACCAAAGGTCTTCAATGTACCACCGCTGTGAGGTGACGCTTGGAAGCCTGGTGTTTGATAGCTGCCTTGGTGAAGCTATTAAGGCTGTTAAAACCCGTGCTCTTCCATGTTCCCTCACTTGTATTAAAAAGCAAACACGGCCAGCAAAATAGCTTGTTCCGCTCGATGCTAGCCGTTAGCCAGTCATAGCGGTCATAATTACCCTCAGTGAAGTGCTGCACAAAACCTTTTCCGGCCTTGGTCAGCCCATCCAGCTTAGGTGTAGGTCTTCCTTTTGAAATGATCTCTTTCTTCTCTCCAATCGAGCACCTTGAAAAAGGCACACGAAGGAGATCGAAAACAGGATCGGTAAGAGGTGTGAAGGCAGCGGCCATAGCTTAGTTCACTTACATCATTCACAACCCGCCAAAAGTTCAAACGGATGATGACATCAGCAGGGGCTAGCGCCGACACATCGCTGGGCCCTCTGGGGCGTTCTGTCACTACACATCAAAATTTGATTGGCTGATGACACACATCAGTCAAAGTTATGATCAAATGGAAAATGACAGCTTCAACGGAAGGCTAGCTATATTACCATATTCTTTCTGAAAACAGAATCGTAATGAACTGAAATAAACAGTAATTGAATTTAGACAGGTTCAGACACACATTAACTTAATTATGAAAAAACAATTTTTTTTTTAGATTATGACAGGGCCAGCAGAGAAGGCCCTGATGGCCCTGACAGCCCACTACTGCATACTTTGTACGCACAGGTCACACATGCGCATTGAATTATATTTTGCAGTAATCAGATGTTCCACAAGGTGGCAACACTGTCCAGGGCCATTGTTTCACAGTAGAAAACAAAACTAAAGAGACTAAATCTAAACTAAATCGCATAATAGATATCTGAAATTCACATTTGTACTAGTCAAATCTTAATTACTGGTAAAGCGAGGTGTACTAAATGCTAAAAATGCTTGCCTTTCTATACAAGTGTAGCTAAGAAAATAGCCTTTTTCAAAAACACTGCCATTTATATAAAGCAAATATTCAACAGAAACACATCAATTTGAAGTTAGGGAATGTGTCATGTTTGATGTATTATTTTTGTGATTTTAGAAAATCAACTTACCTGTAAGCCATAAAAGCTGTTTGTCAGTTGTTGTGTTGTTGCCCCGATTCCGCTTTCTGCTCCGTTTGGAATGCTACTTGAATGTTCAATACACACTCATTAAACATGTCAAAGTCATGCAGCATTTACATAAATAAACATCAAGAATTACACATTTAACATTGCAAAAAAAAAAAAAAAATCTTATTGTATTATTATTGAATCACAAATTTTGTACAAAACCTCATTTTGTAGTTGCAGGTGCAAAATGGCACTACCACATCCTGGTAGAAAGACTTTTTTTTTTTTTTGCAGGAATTTAGTTTAGTTTAGGAATTCTTAGTAGGATAGTATTTTTTTATGATTGTAGATGTTCTGTTAGAGCGCAGTAAAATGCTGGATAGACTATTGGCATGTCAACCATGGCACCACTGAGTTTGTGCCATCCAAAAAAAAAAAAAAAATGCTGGCAGACCGACATTCTACTGTTAGCTTATCTGTCTCTATGTAATTGTAGCTGAGAGAACTGTGTGACTTGCTGAATGAAAACTACACAGAGGAGGATGACAACACATTTCGTCTGCACTACTCTCCACAGTTCTTGCTCTGGTACGTTTCTTGGTATGTTTTATTTCTTGACATATAGCTACAAAAGTAACTATAATCTTATTATTTGTATTCATGTTTTGTGGACTTTGCTTTATGGAATGCAGGGCTCTGTGCCCCCCTGGATGGCAATCACAGTGGCATTGTGGAGTTCGAGTTAAGTCCAGTCAAAAACTAGTGGGATTCATAAGTGCCATTCCTGCTACTATTAAAGTATTAGACATGTAAGTGCAGAATTTTCTCAGTCTGTTAAAATGATTTAAACAATTTTGGTTGATGTAAATGTAAAAATACTCCACAGAGAGCTAAAGATGGTGGAGGTGAACTTCCTGTGTGTACACAAAAAACTTCGCTCAAAAAGAGTGGCACCAGTTCTAATTAGGGAGCTCACCAGACGGGTGCATCAGCAGGGTATATCTCAAGCAATCTACAGCACCAGTGCGGTCCTACCAAAACCTGTTGCAAGCTGTAGGTATGATGGAAGTTATAAGGATATCTCTCTTACTCTCCCAGACCCCCACTGCTGTTTGTGGTATTGTTTCAAACTAAATTCTGTTTCTCTCCACGGTTGTTAAAAGGTATTGGCACAGGTCACTGAACCCACGCAAGCTGATTGAGCTGAATTTCTCCTCTCTCACTCGTAACATGACCCTGCAGCGTGCCATCAAGCTAAATCGGCTCCCTGAGGTCAGACTGCCCTCCTGAGGGCCATCATGTAACATGACACTTTTTTTTAACCCTTATGCTCTATTTGATTTTACTGTCTATATGTTTAAATTAATATTTAAGTGTTCATATATATATATATATATATATAGTAATTTTCAGGAGGATGTACTCATTTTTGCTACAAATTTAATCACTTTGATATATAGTTACATTGCTTCTGTTTGGAGTCAATTTTTGAGATGCCAGAGTAAGTTCCTTGGACTTTGCACATCCTTTAATTACACCAATAATCTCTCTCCTCTATATCTATAACAACAGACAACAAAAACCACAGGCCTTCGCCCCATGACTGTGCAGGATATGCCAGTGGTTCAGGCTCTTCTGAGAGAACATCTAAAGGCTTTTCATCTCTCTCCTTCTCTGACCCTAGAGGATGTTGAGCACTGGCTTCTGCCTCAAGATGGTGTGATTGACACATATGTTGTGGAGGTCAGTATGATGAAATGGATCTTTAAACTGTTTTATTCAGACATCTAGCTGTCATGTCCTGTATTAATGTCACTTTTTATGCAGAGCATGGCCGAGACCATAACTGACATGGTGAGTTTCTACACACTTCCCTCATCAGCTCTGAACCACCCTGTGCATAAAGGCTTGAAGGCAGCCTGTGTTCTCTATTGCATCAGCAAGGCTACCCCGCTGCTGCAGCTAATGGAGGACATCCTTATCATCTGTAAAGCAGTAAGTCAAAGGAAATATCAACATAATATAGCTGACTACATAGATTGTGCCTCATATGAAGACATTTACTGCCCATCTGTCACATCCAAACTATGATGATTCTTTCAAATGTATTGATTGTTCTGGTCTCATCACTCCTTGTACTCTCTGCTTTTCTGTTCAGAGAAGGTTTGATGTGTTTTCTGCTCTGGATGTAATGGATAATAAAGCTTTTTTGGAGCCCCTTAAGTTCAGAATGGGAGATGTACACAAGCAGTATTACCTTTACAATTGGAGATGCCCTGAGATGGCCTCAGACAAGGTGATCAAGCAGTCTGTGGTGTATATATATATATATATATATAATAAAAAAAAACTAATATTGTGTATTCCATATTTCAGGTGGGTGTTGTGCTGAAGTAAAGGCATTTTGCGCACAAATGGACAATGAAAATACATAAGCACTCATATAGCACACTTTTCTTACATCTAAATATTAAATAAATCCTCATTTCTCATTATGAAACTTGCATGAATGGGTTTCTTTCTTTAATATTGATAAAGTTGTCCATTACGTTACATTACAGATGTTATTACTATAGTTTTACTCAGTACTGCTAATTTAAACTAATTATATCTCTGCATCAGTGGGTTGAGATTCAAAAAGATAATGAATGTATACGTATACAGTCATGAATTTAAATTAAATATTTATATATATTATAATTTAAAGATTAGGACTTATGCTCATGTTCCATCTAAAATATAAAATAAAACATACATTGTTATTAATATTATTTTAATAATAAAACAAGACATTTTACATAACACAAATGTTACCTTTTTCATATTAACACGACATGGAAATATGTTCTTGACAGTTTATTGTCCACAACTGGTTTAACTGTGAAGAGCAATGAATTAAAAAAAAAATCTGGCCCACATCTTTCTTGTATTATTGTGCTGGCTGTGTGTCAAAACAATTAATGGGAATGACAAGTAGACCGATTTATTTATTTGTTGTTTGTTTGTTTGTTTGTTCATGCTGAGAGCTGACATTAATTCACAGGTCAAACTGTTAGAATGTCTACCCACATGAACAGAGCTGAAAGTGCAGCACTGTTTTGTGCAGTATGTATAAGGCAACACCAGGTGGCACAATCGGGTTGACACCCTACAAAAAAAAACTACAAATCAAGAGAAAAAAAAGCTTTCTACACAATCATTTAAAAACAGAATTAATCATCAGTTCTGACTGTTTCTTCACAGAGTCTCTAAGTAATTTATTGCTCTCTTGGAGGAACTCATTCTGTCATTTTGCTAGAAACGTGGCTCTATTAGAATTTGTAACATGACAAATTGGGCATCTGATTAAATCTTATATTCAAACTGTTTAGAATAGCATTAGAATTCCAAACTTATCCACTGCAGGGGGCTGTTTCATAAAACTAGTTTACCAAATAAGCCAGGCTTATTTCAGTTAGTCTGACTTATTTTCACTTGATTTGGTTTCATAAAGCAACATTACCCTAGCTCAAACTCAGTCACTCTGGCAACTTATGCTGGGAAACTAACCTGGTCCGGAGCAGGCTAACTGTCAGGATAAGATGAGCTCCTCCAACACTGACAAATAGGAACGCATTGATAATACCGCCGACTCTCTCACATAAAATTATTTGACTTTATTATTAGTCCAAAAATAAAAGTATACAGAAAATGCAACTTAAATCAAATAAATAAAAATATAGGCTATACAACCGACCGTATTTAATGCATTGTGCCCTTAATGACTTTGTTTAAGATATAAGAAAACATTTTAACATGCTGCTACATGCGCATTTCTTTTGATCAGCAGTTTCTAGCCATGCAGCCTTTCTCTCTGATTTTATGACAGCTGTACTTTATGCTTATTGGTAGAACATTAAAACATTACAATCTAAAATGGCTCTTTAAAGCATTAAAGCATTTAAAACACTAAATTAAAAGTTAAAACCACTTTATTAAAAATTAAAATAAATAATAGAAATTAGACTACATTTTAACTGATAAGAGGAACACACATTTAACTCGTTTGAGATAGCAGGGCTGTAGTAGCCAGCTTACATTTGATTTACAGTTACTGCTATGATAAAAATACACTTATATGTAGGATTAAAATTCTACATGTGTCACATTTAATGTCCAACAACAAATATTTTAGCAGAATGCAATAGCATTGCGCTATTATTCTATTCTGCGCCGTCTGAATAGCGCGCATGCGCGCAGCAGCGCTCGTTCACTCACGTAAGCCTAGCCACTCTTGACAGCAAAATGGATATATTTGCATGACTTTCTAACATTTACAAATGAAACATTATACCTGTGACGTGTCAGTCATGCAATGAGGTAAACACAATGTCTCAAATGCATTACACGGCACAAATATTCGTTTGCCATGGTGTGTCGATTTGATCCATGATCGACATTATGGGCTGCTTAAGAATAAGCGTGCACATCAAATTATCCTGACTCATTGAACCTGGATCGAATTAGTGAGATTGCGTAAACTAAATTGTCGTTTATGAAACCGCTTTAGTCCCGATTGATTTGTTAGGTTATTTCAAGTCAGGTTTTGGACTTTAATCCCCGCTTTTCTTAGCGTCTTTTATGAAACAGCCCCCATGGCAGCTAACAGAATTAGATGTGTTTTTTGTTTTTCGATACCGAATCAGCGTTTTTGAAAAAAAAAAAAAAACGTTCAAGTGAACGAACCGATTCAGAAGAGTCGAGTCATTGGGATGAATCAAAATGTTAACCACTACTGGCGTGGACGGGGGTGGGATTTCAACTTTCAAACACGACAGGCAAATGCGCTCGTGTTCTGCTGTCTTTCAGAGTCTTTCTACTGTGTGTTAGTGCGAGTTTTTATGTTAGTACTCAAGGAGTAGTGTGAAGTTAACGTTATATTTTAGTGTTTCACCATAAGGACATGTGGTGCTTTAATCCCGGCAGTGCTCGCTATCGCTGATTCTAAATACCTTAAGACCTAAAGATTGCTGGGCGATTTCAGATAGTTATACATTTGGCTGTTATTTCACGCGTAATTTTTTATTTGTAAAATACTCCGGGCCTATCTTTGCCGTTGTGTGATGACTCGCTGTGTTCATCTAATGGTGAGTAGCTCATTCAAAAAGTGTTAAATTTCTCATTGATGTATTTACTGAAAGTTGCATATCCAATCATGTTGTGTCTTCGCAATTGTGTTATTCAGAACAGGCTTTTACTTGAACAATATTGTTAGTTTAATATGGTTTTAAAATTGGATCAACGCCACAACTGTTGTGTGTGTGTGTGTGTGTGTGTGTGTGTGTATGTGTATGTATGTGAGAGAGAGATCAATGAGCTAGTGGGCGGAGTTAGTTTAATATGGTTTTAAAATTGGATCAACGCCACAACTGTTGTGTGTGTGTGTGTGTGTGTGTGTGTGTGTATGTGTATGTATGTGAGAGAGAGATCAATGAGCTAATGGGCGGAGTGTGTTGCTTAATTCAGCTGAAAACCAAAGGTCTCTTTTGAAATGTTGCCTGTAAATTATTTGTTATGGCTGAAGTGTGTGAGTATTTTGCTTGTGTGTGTGTGTGTGTGTGTGTGCGCTTTAAAAAAAAAAAAAATTTTTTTTTGGTTTTTCTGCTTATCAGTTTCTTTTTTGTTGGGATCAGACATGTTCCATCTATTTAAAGGGGTCATATGATGCTGCTAAAACGAACATTATTTTGTGTATTTGGTGTAATGAAATGTTTGAGGTTTAAGTTTCAAAAAACACATTTTCCACATACTGTACATTATTGTTTCTCCTCTATGCCCCGCCTTTCTGAAACGCGTCGATTTTTACAAACCTCATTGGTCTGAAAAGCGAGGTATGCTCTGATTGGCCAGCTATCCAGAGCGTTGTGATTGACCGAATACCTCAAGCGTGTGACGGAAATGTTATGCCCCTACCATACTGTGAGAGGCATTTGTTGCATCCAGTGGGGACATAATTACGGATTATAATGATTTATACTGTCTTTTTACGCGTTGCATCGTGCTGCGTAAACATAAAACCATGCCTGCATTTGTGATGGGAGAAATGACAAACAACAAGTGCTACTCTACACTGCCCAAAAACTCGCGTTTGAATCGTCAGTGGCAAATTCTTTAAATATAAAAAACATAGAAGTAAGTCATATGCAAATGTATTTGTCTGTGTGACGTTATAGATTGCCCACAATATCCAAACCAGATATTTTTGTAGAGTTTTGTAATGTGGAGGATGTTTAAGTGGAACAAATACCTCCTATATCTCAAAAGATCAAGGAAAATTTGGTTTCTCATGTCATGACCCCTTTTTGGGAGATTTGAGTCCATCACTGAGGAGCACGAATGCTCAGGAGAGCTCAGGCTTGATTTTCAAGTGATGCAGTCCAGGGGTGTATTTAGGGCTGGACAATAATTCAATATCAATATGTATCGCGATATAATTTTTTTCAATAACGGTGATATGATTTTTAAACACATTTCCGATATTTCGATATACATTACCAGTTTCCCATACATTGACAGACTGTCATTCGGTTTGTCACTCAAACATATTTCTCAGAGTTCAGGCCAGCCAGAACCAATCAGGTACCACATAGCTCCATGCCCAGACTAGACTGAGCTTTACAGACATCAGTGAGAAACTTATTTCAGCAGGCACAAAGCTGACTAGTTGACAAAGCTGAAGCTTAGGACATGTAGCTCAGTAAGACAGAGAGGAAGAAACTAATTACATGAAAACACAAGTATGCTCTTGCATACCATGGTAAAGACCTGTTCCTGTAAAGTAAATCATGGCCTTAAATGCCTGAGGAGAATAGCCCAGCGAACATGTCCCAACAAAGCATCTGAAAGCTTATGATTCTTCTCTCAGGGCTTGATTATTTTGATCCATGTGAAAGCAGAGGTTGACGGAAGCCTCTTTGTTGCAAGCTGGTGAAATCTGTTGTGGTGCCAGTTAAATAGCTGTCTTTCGGGGAGAGGTCAGATGTCATCTGCTAGTGTGTCTCAATACGGGCTGACAGATAATAGATTTTGGGCTATTACATTTATAAATTTGTGCAAGATGAGCACAACTAATAAAAGAATAATTATGATTACAATAGTTTTAGTAATCATGAAAAGTATAAATTACAGCATGAGTGATATGAGAGATGTGAAAGAAGCCCCAATCACAAATACCTAGATACGGCGGTCAATATACAGGGATTGACAATGTGCTATGAAGTGAGTACTAATAATATATTTTTTTCATATACAGTATCTCACAGAAGTACACCCCTCACATTTTTGTAAATATTTTATTATCTGACTTAAATACCTTTGATTGGTCATTGCATTCATGAAATCAGATATACAGTGCCTTCCATAAGTATTGGAAAAGTAATGACAAAATTGCTTTGTCTGCTGTGGGGTCATGACATCTGCAA